TCTTTCCTCGAGAACCGCATCTTGCATCATCTGCTCCTGTTGGATAGTCAGTGCTCCAGTACTTGTATTGAAACCAAACATTCATTTTGGTGTAATTAAGTCTGGCATTGTCAGGAGCATGGTATTTGTCCCACTGCGAAGAAGCTGATAGTTGCTGTCTTGTGATGCGACCACTCTCCATACCAAGAGCGTGTTCACCCGTGCACTCTGAACACAGAAGGAGCCATTTTCCAAAATTATTAAGAGTTATCGTAATATCGATGTGAGAATTGTCACGTTGTTAATCCCCAAAACATTTTTGGGGTCCACAGCCTTATGCCAAAGAAAAGCAAAATAAACGTTTCGACCATAGTCGGACGCCACCGCCGACCTCTTTAATTGACTTTTAYCAGTAGAATAGCAGGGGTGAGCGACACTCYTGTCATAACTTCAYCCACATTATCTATATATAYACTGGGGCGTAATAAGGTTCTGAAAAGCAAAGAGTCTTGCATAACGTAATCATCCGTTGGAGTCGAACCAATACCTTTACCGCTAGAYCATCACATTAACACTATCATAATACCATCACTATTTATGATATTATGCTCTACAACCTTATATATTTACCTGCTGCAAGTGTTACAAAAGAAGGCGTTTCATACCAATTCATAGCGGGAGCTTGAGCCTGCTCGTTGGAAGGCTCATTGCCCTCTCTCTACCCTGGTTCCAGAGGCTTGTCTTTTATTCTTTTGCTTACTATGTTATCGAGCCGCGAAGCGGCGAGACGTTTCCGTTAATCGGAAACGTCTTGAAACAATTCATGTCTAAYTCTGCCGTTCGAGTTTAGATGTTTGCAACTAAAGAAGAACTATTTGTTTTACAAAAGAAACCATCACTAGTTTTACAAAAGAAAACATACATAAAAGATTTATGGACTTGGTTTTGATTCCACTATAACGATAAAACCCTTCCAAATCGCTTCTTTAATTAAAAAGGTTATGTTTTTAGCATCTACTTTACCGTGATGGACTATGCCAAGGGCTTCTGAATCAAATTGTTTCATCGACTTTTTTAAGCAAGWGACCAAACGACCCGCTAGTCTTTGTAAAAGTGGTAATGTGAATTTCCGCCGATTTCAAAATTGCTTGGAGAAAATCCCTCGTTAACAGTATTATAATTATTAATCATTGATGTTATTATTATTACAGTGCCATTTATTTCACTTATTCAATCACTTCAACACTACATTCCTTTATATTTAGGAGGTTTTTTTTGTTCTACCCGCTTCTCTCGTACGATCAGCCTTTTGTGTTTTTGTGAGTGCYGTTTAGAGCTTGATGCTTTAAGGAAAGACGCCTTTTATGAAAGACTCCAATATGATGAATGCCTTCTCTTTTCTTTCCTTGGGTGCTGCATCTTGCATCATCTACTCCTGTTGGATAATCAGTGTCCCAGTACTTGTATCGAAACCAAACATTCATGTTGGTGTAAATAGATCGCTGCGAAAACAAGTTAAATGTAAAGTTAACGTATGGAAAGCTTCGTAAAAATATCACTCAGAAGTTTAAAAATCGACATGACTGAGAAAAATAAAAATCGTGCGGACGCGTGCACTGAAACAAGCGATGCTGTACCAGGGTTACNTGTTTTACAAAAGAAACCATCACTAGTTTTACAAAAGAAAACATACATAAAAGATTTATGGACTTGGTTTTGATTCCACTATAACGATAAAACCCTTCCAAATCGCTTCTTTAATTAAAAAGGTTATGTTTTTAGCATCTACTTTACCGTGATGGACTATGCCAAGGGCTTCTGAATCAAATTGTTTCATCGACTTTTTTAAGCAAGTGACCAAACGACCCGCTAGTCTTTGTAAAAGTGGTAATGTGAATTTCCGCCGATTTCAAAATTGCTTGGAGAAAATCCCTCGTTAACAGTATTATAATTATTAATCATTGATGTTATTATTATTACAGTGCCATTTATTTCACTTATTCAATCACTTCAACACTACATTCCTTTATATTTAGGAGGTTTTTTTTGTTCTACCCGCTTCTCTCGTACGATCAGCCTTTTGTGTTTTTGTGAGTGCTGTTTAGAGCTTGATGCTTTAAGGAAAGACGCCTTTTATGAAAGACTCCAATATGATGAATGCCTTCTCTTTTCTTTCCTTGGGTGCTGCATCTTGCATCATCTACTCCTGTTGGATAATCAGTGTCCCAGTACTTGTATCGAAACCAAACATTCATGTTGGTGTAAATAGATCGCTGCGAAAACAAGTTAAATGTAAAGTTAACGTATGGAAAGCTTCGTAAAAATATCACTCAGAAGTTTAAAAATCGACATGACTGAGAAAAATAAAAATCGTGCGGACGCGTGCACTAAAACAAGCGATGCTGTACCAGGGTTACCAGGGATACGAAAAAGTAAAATTACCTGACTTTTCCCTGCTTAAAGCCAATCTTTCACTGATTAAATGGCACATTCCTTTTTATGAAACCTAGCTCACCTCTCCATTTTTAATCACAGTTATCCCACATCATACACAATCGGGATATTGGTAAAAAAAGGAGTTTCATTTAGTTGTGGTCACGAAGAATGGTGACAAAAATATTTCCTGACTTTTAAATGATTTGCAAATTTCCATGACCAAAATGACAATTCCCAGACCTTGAAAAACATTCTAATTTCATTGAATTTTCTCTGACCCTGGGAACCCTGTGTATGATGCCAGATGAAAACTAGACTGTCGAGCAGAGCTCTTCTGAATAGAAAGACTAAAAATAAACTTACATCGAAGTCCTTACAATTCTCGTTTGTTATATGTGTACCATCGCATTCACCATTCTCGTTAATGGGCATCTCTATATTGTAAGTTCCAAATAAACTTTGGCATTCAGCAGATCCAGACTGGGCCTCATTACATGGCGTGCCACTAGAGTCATCGCAGCACATCGATCTAAAGCGATCGTCATCTACTCTCATACAAAAAAGAGACTGTCCTAAATTGAAAAAAAGAACATATCAGCGAAATATATACCTCTTGTTATAAGACAGTCAACCATTAAGCTGTTTGGTGTATGAGGTAGTTAATAAATATAAATTGTTTCACACACACGTATCGGCTGAATTTCGGAAGTATTTTTCATGAAATTTCTAACTTGCCGTCTTGTTTTAATATTGCGAGTTCCAACGATTTTTCAACTGGAATAAATCAAACTAATGAAATTTGTATCTTATTAAAAAAGAAACTGAAGGGAAAAACCTTTCTAATATGATAATATACTAAACGTTATGTATTTCTAGTAATCATCAAAGGACARCAGTATTTAAAGACARAAAAAATATCATGAAAAAAAGAAAAACAAAACAAAACAACAATAAAACAACACCATACTAACCGTTTCCCTTCTCTCTTTCCGTACTACATTTATCCTCATTAGTTATCGAAAATCGGTCGAACGTAATCTTTCGCCAAGACGAGTCTGCAAGTTTCTGATGAAACTGTTTGATGTTTCCATTTCCATCTTTGAAATATGAAGAACCTCCGTGCCTCACTCTTAAATGGACTATACTAGGTAAACCGTTCTCCTCTTGTGTGTTGTCTCCAAATAGCTCAACGTAAATCTGAAGATGAAAAATACCGCACACTGATCTCTAAGAACGAGCTCAAACGAATTTTGCGATACACCTTTGGATTCTGATGGATAACCTAGTATCTTTTCGTTAAATTGAATACTGGGAAAATAGGAAGGTCTATATGTTTCAAAGAGTATAAAATCAATTCAAAGGGATCAAGCCAAAGATCAGTTCGGTCTTCGATGTTTTGGGATGGATGTGATACACACGAGGGAACTTGCTCCCGGAGCAAAGCCCCATCCGATAAAAATATAGGTAGTCTTTGAGATAACCGCATCTCAGCATTAATGCGATAAGGATGGAAAATGGATGAATGAGTTGAACCATGTAGTTCACAAGTGATTGGCGTATAATTTGGTCTATGAAGTTTGTCTTCCTCATTGCACAACTTGCAAGTTGATTCTTGCCTTTAACACACGAACATTGTAGCACGTTGGACAGCTCTCCTCGAGTCCCAAAAGTAAGTTTGCTTTGCCTTGATGAAGGTCTTTAAAGAACTAAAAATTAAAAATCTAGTGGTCACTAACACACTTTATCAATGCACCCATTATTTTTTTCAAAATCAAATCTTACACATACCACTGGGTCGTGGACATTATCAAATGACCATTTATGAAATCTATCATTAATGGAAGGGAATCTTGTAAAACACTGTCGTGATCGGCTTTCGAGGTCATCTATTTCCAGGAGAGCATTGTTAAGTTGTACAACACCTTGTAGTTGTCCAGTGCCTGAAGCAGCCTCGCTTGCAGTCCGTTCAAAAGMAGTCAACCTGGCCGTTTCATCCCATAGTGTACGGAAATCAAAGCTTTTATAAAACAAGTAGAGTTGTTTAGAAAAACTCGTCTCCATTTGCTTATAGGTTGTCAGGAGGTCGTCAAGGAACCTCTGCTCGACGTTCTCTTCAATCGGASATGCTAGAAAAGAGTATAAACGATAATTATTTAGATGATGTGACTATTTCGCTTATCGCGTCCTTAATGGATTCTCACCACCGATACTTCGCAGAGAAAGAAGCTCATTCTCTGTCTCTTCCAAGTTTGGTATGTCAAAGTTGTATCCCCCGATCTCATTGTCTAGATCGACGACCTTTGCGATGAGATCAATCCTTGCAGCTCCTAGAATGAAGTAATTTTCCATCTGTGCCTTAAATTGGGCCACATTRCTTGGAGCTTGTTCCTCAAGCATGCATGTCAGGYCTGCTGCGAGACTTTCTTTGTTCATTTCAAGATTAGCCTTGAAGATAAATAAAAGAAACGGTATTTATGCATACCATTATCATTAAATTATGCCCAATTATGATTATAACTTATTACCATCATGACTTCTGGAACGGCCCCTACGTCCATTTGTTCAAAATCCAGTTCACTGGAATCCTCGAGTTTCCTGTATGCCTGACCAAAAGTCATCCATTTCTTGATATTGGCGAGGTTCTCCTCCAAAGTACCGGTTTTGCACTTTATAATATGATGCTCGGCTAATCCAAGAGCAGTATCAATAGCTGTGAAAAGATCACCAGTCGCAGCGGCGCTGACAAACCCAGACATGCCTTGCAGTATTGCAAAAAGGTCGGGCTTGTCAAATGTCGCTGTATCATGCACTTGGGGAAGTTGATCAATAATTGCATTGAGACTGTTCTCCATTCTTCCTTCTAGTTCTTTAATGGCCTAAAGCAACAATGATGCTAAGATAAGTTGAACTGATAAATGCTTATGAATCTCAAAACTGATTCTAGGAAAACGCCGTGAAGTGATGGTGCCGTCTAGCCAAAAACTACTACACATTTTTCAATTTTTTTGATATCGTGACCAAGACAAAACTGACAACTACAAATAAACAAGATATGTACAAGGAAAAAAAGAAGAAAGAAATGGAAAAGAAGGAAGACTCAACTAAGAAAATACAAGAATCATCCCTTTAAAGAATAAATGAAAACTTACAGGTACATAAGCATTTTTCTCAGTGAGTGCAACTCTCCTGGCTTCTATAAGCCTTTCCTTTTCATTGTTTACTTGAATTTCAGCCGACTGTGGTAGCGCTTGTAAAATCTGCTTCGTAGTTTCACGTCTTTCTATCGATGCCTGAATTGTGTTGTAGGCCGTTTCATAATCTCTGGCGTGATCTCGAATTTGTACAACTTTATCTCTAAAAGCATGCCATTTCATCAAAGGAGCAAAGAGCACGTTCCTTCCAAATCGATCAAACCCTGGCTTGTTGAAGAACGCCAACCTTTGCTTCGCGACTGAAATATATTGAAAATAAAGGCAACAGTCTTCGTGCAAATGATACATATTAAACGTGGTGTTTCCACATTATCATTATGATGATTTCACAAAAGCCATATCACTGGTGTTCATGGGCTCCTGGTGAGGAACGCCTATATTATCATGAAACCAGTGGAAACACTTATTGGTCAATTGCTCTGCCCTCGTTCAGTCTCTTTAAAAAGCAAGACATGACAGAATGCTGCGTCCCATCTACCATCAAGTCATAAGATCTTAAGACCTTTTAAATGAAGATGGAAAGCCATGGCACAAGCAAGCAGTACCAGAACCTGTTGTAGAGGACAAGAAAGCAAAAATTCTATGGAACATTCCAATACATTTAAAGACCGCTCCTCAAAATGACGCCAATAAATCAGGCGTCGTTATTAAAGACAAGGAGAAGAAGACGTGGTATATTATTGAAGGAACTGTCTGTAACATAAGTTGCATTGACGAAAGAACTCTGTTAAAGCAATAAAAATACAGTGACTTACGCTCAGGCTTAATCCTTAATCCCGATTATAATGTAATTCAAGTCAACATTTTGTGTTAGATTTCTTAGCGGGTTACAACAAACATCTAGTGCAAGATATAAAAAAACTAGGAATAGACAACGGACAAAATTTGTTAAAGCAAAGTCAAAAATGGATCATTTCATAGAACTGTGAAATTGTAAAACCTTCCACATTTTCTAGAATGAACAAATTAGAGTCAAGCCAAAGTATCAAATATAGCCTAGAATTGTAATTCTGCTATATTCTGGTACATAAAAAGACAGAAAAAGTTTAAATAAACTACATAATATTAATAATGCTTTAATCACAGTGTATCCACCACGTGGTTCTTAATCTGTGATGCAACTCACACACTCTACCTCAACATTTAGTGTTTTAGCATACGACACTCTTTACAGCTAGTTTTTGACTGAGGGAAGAGTTTCATAGCGTTTCATATCATATTGCAGCTGTTTCATTAGACAGGGCATTTTCAGGTAAGCTACTTTGTGCAATAAACTTACGTTTTCTTATTGCTACAGCATCTTCTCTTCCTTGTGTCAAGGTAACGACGAAATTGAGTATTGACTGAGCCATGGCGACGTCATTCGCCCAAACGCGGTCCTCAGCCATTCTTGTCATTAGCGTGATTAAATCCAATGGAAATTTGCTCAACGCACTGGTCCCAAGGCTTTGCTTTGTGAGATACGGCTGTTCCACTTGTCCATTTGTCCCGGGTACAAGCAAAGCTAATAAATGTATAACCAACAACGATAAGAAAAGTAAACTGTCTCCGAGATGGACAAAACTAACTACATGTAATAGGCGAATTTAGATATTTTGGTTGGGTGACCATGAACATATTCTTATAATTTCCTGGAGCTTTTATCCACAATTCTTTGGTGGATCGGCAATGAGCCAAAAATATCTACAGTCAGCTACTCGATAATATGATTACCAACCATTTCCTTTGTTGCCTGGATCACCCCTGTCCCCTGGAGGGCCTCGCGGTTGACCTGTACTGCGACAGACAACGTCACAATGTTCGACAATTAGGCCAAAAGGCAAACAATCCTCATAAATTTCACATGTGAGACCAAGTCCTCCACTTCCTCCTTGTCCACCTGAGACGAAGTATGATAAAGAACATGTTATCCTATGGTACATCCACGACAAAATATACTAATTAATAACATTTCTTTGGCAAGTGATGAGGAAAGCATCAAAGAACGGTGTGGTTCCAAGGTCGTTAACAACAGAGCAAATGGACACATGGTACAAACACTGGTAGTTAGTAATCAATTATCACACGTGAAAATAATCTCCCAATCAGAACCACAGTATGCCTTCAAAGATACAAAATGAAAATATCCAATTTAGGTGCCCTTACCAGGTCCTGCACGTCCATTTATAGCCGCCTGTCCTCCAGTCCCACTGCATGTTTTGAGATCAATATTTCCAAGCTGATTGATGTAAATAGCTTGCCTCCCGGCGTTCCCGCCATTGCCTTTTTAAAATCAATTAAAGACAACAAAAATTGTGATCAAAAACACTAAAAGTCAGCCAATAGAATTGTTTTTGTAAAATCGATAGAACAACCAATATTTCTTAAGTAACAGCACTATAGAAAGGGAAAGAATTCCGAAATGATAGTTTCTACAATGTAGTATATTATAGTATTACACAAGCTTAGCAATTTGAGATTTTTCGACTGGCTGACGAAGTGTCCCGAAAAACTAAATGTCAGGCAATCGATTTTTTTAAATATTGCTAGAAAAATCATAATTTCAAGTGATAGATCAAGAAATTTACCAAAAGGTCTGTCCAACAAGGTTGCATACCGTATTTACTCGAATAGACGCCGCGGCGTTTATTTCATTTTTCACGATCCAGCTGCGGCGTTTATTCGAGGGCGGCGTCTATTCGGGGGCGGCGTTTATCAAAAAGACACTTTATTCAGTACTACATACCGTACTTTATATTGTATATTTTTACTAACAAACAGTAAGGAATCTCAATATATAAATGTCGTGTTCATTTTGTCTATTCGATTTATGACTTTAACCAGAGTTAAACTTCCATTTCAATATCAATGTCCTCCTTGTGGTCGGAAACTAACTGCTGCTGAGATCAAACAAGTACAGTCACTTCGGGAAAAAAAATGTTCTAAGAGAAAATAAATTCCCATTGCTGGTATAATTATTTCCTCAAATTTACGCCGCACCTAGATAAAAAAGAAATTGAAGAGTCACCAAACTGAAGCTTAGTCGAAAGCTCACCAGATCTCCCGGCGTATCCTCCATTTCCTCCTCTACCACCTTTCACACCTTTAGCTCCTCTGATGTCAGGACATCCAGTGACAACCCTCCCACTCTTTATAGCCACGCTAGGACAGTCATCTGGATCAACACTTGGTGGCTGACAACGAAGGAAAAAGCTAAGGTTATTTACCGGTATTTTTTTTTTCTCTTTGTTTAGCTTTTTTTTTGTGTGAAATTGTGTATGTTCATATTATCTTGTTTAGAGAGTCTTAGGATTTGATGATGTTGTCCAGTTATATCTGCTGACAAGGTTACCACAATTCCTTAAGATCGATGTGCTTGAGGAAATCTTGTAACCGTCTGCGCTGCAGTCGACTGGTGAAGATGATGATGGTCTAAATTTTTCATTTTCGTATCAATCGCCCAATAGTGCATATATACTGATTACAACTATCAACCCAAATTAAATAAAAAACTTTATTTCTATCGTCCTTGAAATACCGTTACTATGCCACTTTCCCCTGGCTTTCCATTGACTCCATTTTGAGCTCTGTTTCCATTGCTACCACTTGATTCAATGCTTATTTGACCAGAGGCTGAATTGGCGTAGATTTCCACTAATAACATAACGTCGAATACAAAAAAAAAAAAAAAAAAAACGCAAGGTGTTAACGCACAGAGCCTACATAGAAACGAAACTAATTACACACAAAAATCACTTAAGCAATAGAATCGCTAATGCAACTTCCACCACAATCAAGACCTTCACCAGAGACAACATGAACATTACCAGCAGCTAAAATAAATGAAGCAATAGTCTATGATAAACAACATAAAAAGCACCGATAAGGGACTGCGCAATATTTATCAGGAGGGGAGAATACAGAAGGGGAGGAGGAGGCAAAATCTAGTTATGGGAGGACCAACGTCTATAATTAACTACAACTTTAATTGGACACTGAAAAATCAACGGTTTCATATTCTCAAGAAAAGCGTGCCACGATTTGCGACAACTCTTTATTCACGGCCAATAAATAGATTCATTCAAAATTAACTTTTGATTTTTTGGCTCCATTTCTCAACCACAAGCCCAAAAATGACATGCAAAAACACCGAAATCAATTAGAAAGGTACAGACTTCAACACTCCATAGAATAACACGTACAAATATAACCACTACTATTACTGAACAAAAAATGACAAAAGTAGCAAATACAACACACAGAAATCACTACATGACATGACACTATGTAAAACCTATAAAGATCTACAGAGAATAGTAAAAATTTACATAACAAGATGCTTACAGGATTAATGGAAAATTCACACGATTTCATAGGATCATAGAAAAATCAAGAGTTGCAAATTCATTAATGTTTTCATACTTCTTGCATACTCAGAATGAAAAGCGGTTGTACATGTTTAGGTATAGTTTAAAACACGATCTCGAGTGTTTTAAACGGCTTCAAAAACTCCAACACTAATTTCAAAATTTGTGAATAAATTGAGTAAAAATAAGTTTTTAGATAAATGGGGCAGACTGATCAATCACTTTACAAAGCGCTCTTGTCATCCCACATTGAATACGCATAAAGTAAAATACAACCGCTGTTGGCTGTTTACTGCAATCGGTTGACATCCTGCATTGGTCAATGATCAGGTATCAAACCTGAGACCTTTGCTAGGGTCATGGACCTTTATATGTGATAAAGGTTACCCTTATTAGTATTCTTTATATAAAGAATACTAATAAGGAGTGTTTTATCAGATATAAAGGTCCATGCATTAATTATGTACGAGTTTTTTTTTTTTTGAATGCACTTTAACCCACCTGTAGGCCCGTCAACTCCATGTTTTCCGTCATTTCCATCTTGACCAAAACTAAGCGTGGGGAAATTTTGCGCTACAGACGGAGCCCTGAGATCAAGTTTACTTCCTTGAAGAAACGACACTACTCGGCTCATCATTGTTAGCTTTTTGATGCCTCGCATCTTGACTGCAGTCTAAATGATATATTGGAAATTTTAGATGAATGTCGTGTGAACAATGTTCTCTCCGTTGTCCCGAGAGTTTTTCTTCCGATAAGCTGGTTTCCCCCCACTGTCCAAAGCTACAGCTAGAAGAACACTACGTTATGTATTAACATAATTAACGCTGGGTAGTGGTTGGAAGAGAATATCATGATCGGAGCTTTTTGAAAATCACTATTCGTCAAAAAGCTTCCTAATAAAAGATAAAGCGTCTACAGGTCTACTGCAGGCTCAAAAGATCCCAGTGAACTTAGAAGTGGCCCACATCTACTTTAAGAATTATGATTACCTTAACATAAATAGTATCAGCAAGAACCTCAAGGTCAATATTATTAGGACGGTCCTGTGTGTCTGCAAAGCTAATGCCTGCTGATGCTCCTGTATCTGTCCTAAGGTTTCTAAGGTGTTCTTCAACGTATTCCATATGGACAGTGCGGCCCAAAACTCGATAACGGTCTGCATATGTTGACAGATATGTTGAACAGTTATTTTTCACTAAACGACTTTTAGATGCACCGAGAATGCGTATTAAAGATAAAGAGTAAGTTTTTGCTTATATTACAATGACTGTATTTTTATTTTCAAACATAAACAAAAGCTCGAAAGGGATGCTGGTGGACTGTGTGCCTTTAAGTAAACATTTCCTGAACAACACGACAATTCCTTCGAATTTCAATGTTTTCGAAACATGTGTATTTACGTTGGAAATTCATTAAATCAAATGGGGACCTCGAAAAACATTTTTAATTTGTTCATTGTCATTACTATATATTTCCCGGGAAATTTATTTTTACTCATGATTTTTTAAGCATATTAATTACCCGAAAGAACGCATCCATAAAACTCAGTTMTCATAGACATTCGGTTGTGATATTCGACTGGTCTTATCTGTACGTATCGAGCTGTGATTGGTGCTGCCAGGGGATGAGTCACAACAGACGTGTAATCGGTATTCCCATTAAAAATCTGTTAAGGAAGTGACATTAAAAATTTCAATTCAATTTGATCATTACAGAAGAAACATGACATTTTTAGAGAATAGTATTATTATTATTGATTAAATCATGTAAATTTGAGAAATTTTCCAGTGGTTTAAGTTTTTATGCAATGTATACCTTGTCGACTCCACCTTGTTCTTGATAGGTCTGGAATACTGCAGAATAGCCCTCAACACTGTATTTCAGCTTGTATTTTGTGATCCACTGTCTTGCGTCTTGACGACCCTGTGTAGCAAACTTAGTAATTTTCACATTTCTGCCAAAATCGACCTGGAACCACTGATACTGATCCTCAGTTTTTGCTACCCATGAACCCTTTTGGCCTCTGTCGGCGACAAAATGAAGTCTTCCATTACCGGGAGAATGGTATTTGT